CGGGACTCCAGGATCATGACCTGAGCCAAAGGCAGTCGTTTAACCAACTGAGCCACCCAGGCACCCCAATATGACATATTTTTAAGACTTTTATTGCATGTTAGCGAATTACCATCCAGAAATCCTGTGCCAATTTATAATCCACCTTAACAGTGCATGTGAGGCCTCTCCCCTCACAAACACTGGCTTGTGTCACTTTTAAAAACCTGTAACACTACAAAAGTGAGTGACCCTCCCTTTTTTATGAAGTGGGATTACTCCAAACTTTAAAACTTTTTTCATTTATTTATTTTTTTTTTTTAAGATTTTATTTATTTATTTGAGAGAAAGAGAGAGAGACAGAGAAACAGCATGAGAGGGGAGAGGGTCAGAGGGAGAAGCAGGCTCCCCCCTGAGCCGGGAGCCCCATGTGGGACTCGATCCCAGGACTTCGGGATCATGACCTGAGCCGAAGGCAGTTGCTTAACCAACTGAGCCACCCAGGCGCCCAAAACTTTTTTCATTTAATATAGTATGAGCATCTTAAGAAGTCAGTACATTTACATCTTCCACATCATTTTTGGTGACTGTGCCATTATATGAATGTGCCATAGTACACTTAAGCTTATTCATTCTTGCTAGATAAATGAGCTGTTTGCAGGTTTTCACTGTTAAAAACAGTACTCCGATACACATCCTTGCCTACGTCTCGTTTCCTTTGGTTAAATTCTTAGAGAGTTGCTAGGTCAAAATGGCATGCACATTTTCAAGGTTTTTGTTACATGATCTTGACCTAATCTGATGGAACAATCTCATTTTATTGTTTTAATTTGTATTCAGTTCACATACTAGTGACATGTAGTGGCTATTTTTATTTATTTGGCTAGTTGGTTAATTATATCCTTTGTCCATTCTGTGGTAAGAGTTTATAAGGATCTCATCATATTGTTTCCATATATCTGGCTTATTTCTATGTGTCATGGGGTTTTAAAAGACCCCAGTTACTTTAATGTAATGGTTTACACAACACTTTTAAAAAAGGGCTAATATGATGGTTTCCTCTTATGCAATGTTTTTTATACTTGTGCTTTTGTGATCCCTGGTTTAAATGTTGTTCAGCCTCAGAACTAGTATTGATGATCATTTGTTCTGTTCTTTGACCTTTTAAAGAGAGTGTTCTTGACTATCATTCTTTCATGATAAGTTCTTAGCATATGTTCCCTATTCATACATTCTTTGGATTTGTTATTATTTCCATCCTCTTAAATGTCTTTCTTTGTCTTTTTTTCTTGTAAAACTAACGATTATTGCATATCTGCCATTTTGCTTTTTCCTTTTAACTAGTTTTAAGAGTGATTTAGAACTCAAGAGCATATCAAAAGAATGCAGCGCAGGTTCTGAGCGCCACCCAGCTTTTGCCTGTGAGGTCTACACACCACTAGCATCCTTGCTGATTATGAGCCGAGACTCCTTTTGTGATGTTTTTCACTCATAGACTATCTAGAGTTATTCTTCACCTCTGTAATTGTAAAATATGTTGGGTGATTTATTGGTACTAAGAGCAGGATAATCATGGCCCATCCAAGAATTTTTTATTGGATTTTTTATTGTATGTGTTGTGTATACTTTTCTGTTTTTTCTTTTTTCAATACCCAAGATTAAAAACCTGCCATGACTTCTTGTACAGAAATCTTACATGCATGAATACATGAGAGTTGTCTATATGTTAAATCTGTGTAGAGTTGGCAAGTGACCTTTTGTCTTTCATCGAAAGCACTTGACCTGCAGCAGTGTGGCCTCACCAATGAAGGAGCAAAGGCTTTACTAAAGGCCCTCGAAACCAACAGAACTCTGGTCATTCTGGATGTAAGAAAAAATCCACTCGTTGGTACGTCACACCTTTTTTAATGATTAACGATTGGCAAAACAGAATTTGTTCGTGTGTTGACAGTTTTTAAAACCTAATGTGTTTGCTTTCCTAATGCTATACTTTTCTAATCTTGTACTTCCCTTGTGTTTTTAGCAGATAATTTACTACTTAACATGAGTTATACTTGTAAATTGCTCTTGGCTGCCACTCGAATAAGATGAACTTAGATAATGAGCTAGCTTCCACCAAGAGAATTATTGCCTTCCTGTGGAACCTCTGCATTCCTGGAAAGAGCATTTCATTCATTTCTCAGTTTAGCAAGTAATTTTTGAATCCTTTCTGTGTTCCAGACACAGATTTTAGGCACTAGGAGTGTAGTAGTGAAACGGATGGACCAAAGTCTTACCCTCGTAGAGCTTACGTTCTAGTGGAGGAGTTCAGGTAGAAATGAGTGAGCAGATACGTGAAGTAATTTTAGATAGCAGGAAGTACAAAAATACCTTAAGATAAAGACCCTGAAGGGGGTAATAGGGCTGTATTAGATTTGTCAAGGGACAGCTTCACTGGAGAAACGACTTTTGAGGGGAAAGCTAAATGAAGAGAGTGGCAGGCCGTGGGAGACCTGGAGGAGGCAGCTTCCAGCACCAGGAGGCAATGCATACACAGGCACGGAGGTGACAGGGTGGATAGAGTGTTTAAGGAAAGGATGGAGGCCACCATGGCCGGAGCACCGAGCGAGGGAGAGCGTGGGATGCGGTGAGGTCACAGAGCTGGCTATGGGCATGATTTTACCAGAGTAAGGACACGGATTATTCTAAGTGAGTGGAGCATTTTGAACTAAAAAAGGCTTGATCTGAATAGTGTTTCAATAAGATGACTGGTGTAGAGAATAGACCTGGGGATGGGGGAGAGATAAAGAAGGAAAATGAGGAGACCAGTCTGGAGACTGTGACTCCCCTCAGGAGTCCAAATACAGGCTGTTAATGGCTTACCTCAGGGTGGAAGGTTGGAGCTGGTAAAGTGGTTGAATTCAGGTTGTGTTTTGAGGGGGTAGCTAATAAGACTTACAGATAGATCAGGTGTGGGGTATGAAGGAAATAGTAATAAAGAAGCAAGTGCTGGGGGCGCCTAGATGACTCAGTCATTAAGCGTCTGCCTTTGGCTCAGGTCATGGTCCCAGGGTCCTGGGATCGAGCCCCGCATCGGGCTCCCTCCTCCGCGGGAAGCCTGCTTCTCCCTCTCCCACTCCCCCTGCTTGTGTTCCCTCTCTCACTGTGTCTCTCTCTGTCAAATAAATAAAATCTTAAAAAAAAAAAAAAAAAGAAGAAGAAGCAAGCAAGTGCTGGATGATGACGCGTGCAACTGGTTGGTACCACTCACTGAGAAAGGGGCGCTGAGGAGAGGAGCGGCTTTGAGAGAATGTCAGGACTTTGGTTTAATGGATCAGGTGCCCTTTCACTATCTAAGCAGCTGGACAGTCCCAGACTTTTGCTTTCTATCCAAAGGTATCCAAAGTCATGTTAGACACAAAGTGTTGAGAAATGATCTTTGCTACTGCAAAAAGAGTAGTCATTGTGGGCAATATGGGAGGGGGCATACTTTCATCTTAGGTTTTTGAGGAAGAAATTAGAATTCTAAAAAGGGGGAAATAGGTATATAATTACATACTGTGCGTTTTATATTTAATTTTATGTGAAAAGTTGGTGTTTGCTTTTAAATGGGAATAACCACTCATTGGGAAGCAATTACTATAATTTCAATTTATTTTACTTTAGATCATTCTGTGATGAAAGCAGTTATCAAAAAAGTTCTCCAGAATGGAAGGAGCACCAAGTCAGAGGTAACATGTTGTAGTTCTTTAGGAAGAATTTTTCTTTAACTGCATGTTTTTCTCCTCAATAAAACCATCAAGGCATTTTTCTGCCATCTTAAATCAATTAAGTCAAATCAAATGGCTTTTCTGTTTTGAAAACATTGTGTGATTCTTTAATTTGGGGTCCCAGAAATGCAGATTGCAAACCTTTTGTTAACTCAAAATAGCTTAATTTCCAATTGAGATCAAACCCTCATAAATTACCTGTAACTGATATGAGTATTTATTATTTCTCTTCCAGTACCAGTGGATAACTTCTCCATCAGTGAAGGAACCATTCAAAACTGCTAGACAGAAAAAGAGAACTATAATCCTGGGAAATGGTCGGAAAGGGAAAGCTACTATTAGAATTGGTAACTTTTTCTCCTGGCTTTTTAATGCTGCTAGAGCTTATGCCCCGTATGTGTTCCAATGGCTAAAATTGGAATCTCTTCCCATCATATGATAGTGATGGTAACAACCAGTATTAACCACATGCATATCAGAAAGACTGTGAATGTTCTGATACAGATTATAAGAATTTATGAAATATAAAAATAATTTAAAGAAGAGATGCTAATATTTCCTTTTTTTTTAAATTAACCAACTGTGTTTTCATAAAAAGTTCATTATTTTGAATATATTCCTTGGTTAAGATTTTCATTTTCTCTTCCTGTGGTCTATTTTTTTTTTTTTTTTTTTTTGACAGAGAGCAAGAGAGGGAACACAAGCAGGGGGAGTGGGAGAGGGAGAAGCAGGCTTCCCGCCGAGCAGGGAGTCCGATAAGGGGCTCGATCCCAGGACTCTGGGATCATGACCTGAGCCGAAGGCAGACGCTTGACGACTGAGCCACCCAGGCGCCCATCTTCCTGTGGTCTATTAACATAGACAACATAGGCACACAGGTGACAGGGTGGATGGAATATTGACGTAATTCCACATAACTTGAATATAATTTGCCATTTTTCTTCTTTCACTTCATTTTAGATTAAATTAAAATTCTATATGATTTCGTAGTTATACTTTTTTATGAATTCAGAAAGTTTCATTGAGTTGATTGGTCTTTTTTTTAAATTAATGAAAGATTTGGGGTGCCTGGCTGGCTCAGTCGGTAGAGCACATGACTCTCGATCTTGGGTTCATGGGTTCGAGCCCCACATCGGGCATGGAGCGTACTTTAAATAAATAATAAATTAGTAAAAAATTCAGAATAACCTAACTATTATATAATTTTTTAATAGTATTGTAAACATTTTCATAAATACTACTTTTTTTTTTTTACTATTAAAAGGTATGTTTTTGATTCTCCATTAATCTACTTGTTTGGTCAACAAAATATTAAGTAGCAGTTAAGAGGGTCTATTAAATCAAAAGAAAGCTTAACAATTTTTCTACCAATTTTTATTTTAAAACTGATATTTTAGTAGTCAAATAGTATATACAAAGAAGCTGAGATTTGTGATGTCTCAGTGATTATAGATTATTATTAAAAGTTTACATCATGTGTAAAACATTCTTAAAAGTGTCTAAGTTGGTATTTTGATATAATATTAGAAATAGAAATGTATGTAGGTAAAATATATATGTGTGTTATATTAGGATTTCTGTAATTTTAGTATCTGATGGTATATAATAGGACTTCGTGGAATGAAAATAAAAAATTAAAAGTCTTTTTTTTTTCTTAGCATGATTAAACAAAGTGACTGAAATTTACAAGCTCACTGAGCTATTTTAAGAGTAATTTTATTTCTTGGGCTTTTTTTTGTATTTGCCTCAGTTATGTGGAGACATAGAGGTAAGCCACATCAGTGTCTGGCTATATAGTTAGATCCAGGTGAGTATAGAGGTTACATAATTGTGTGAGTTGTCACATTCACATTGTAATCATGTGTGCAGAAAGAAGATAGGAACTTGAATGGGGATTTTATCTCCTTACAAGATAAGTGTGAATTCTTTTGGATTTAATTACAAATGTCATATTTGCATTAGTTTCTGAAAGGGGAGAGGTGTACATGTACAAACCACGTATATATGAACATTTTTTTCCTTGAGAGTAATTAAGTTGAAAAACAAAAAATAGCACAAGATGAATGGAACTTCTATATATTTTAAGAGGCATATAAATTTATCCAGAGAAATCACACAGGTCATGTGGTGATTATCAATAAGCTACACTATATGAAATATTTGTCCTCTATTGCCACATATGTTTTATTTCTCTTGCTATCCTAATGCTGCTAAAGTAGTATAGTAAAATAGATCTGAAGAATAAATATAACAAACCTATATTACTTGTTTTGAGTAACTGTAAAAAAATTAAATGTCAATTTTAATATATGGTTTATTCTAAATATATTAGCACGTAGGTCTAGTTTTTGCTACTATTTCATATAAGGATATTGATTTTTTAGTACTGAAATGTAGGCCAAGTCTCCATATCTTGCTCTTTATCCATTGGGTCTTATTTCTTCTTTGTTTTCTTTTCTTTTTTTTTTT